TCCCCCGGTCCCGCGTGGGCGCCCCCGGGGCCGGCCCCTCTGCCGCAGGCATGATCCCAGATCCACCTTTTTCCACAGACACGGGCGCCACATGCGGGAGGTGTGTGTGGGGGGGTGCCGGCACCCCCTCCCCCCCTCTCCCATCCCTCGTGTTTGCCCCACAGCCACCCGCGGTGTGCAGGACGAGTGCCCACCCACTCTTGCCCCTGGTTGGTTTAGTGGGGTTTATTAGCATTATTTATGGCTGTTTTTCTTGGACTGGCAAAGAAAAACAACATGCGGAGCGCGGGTGGGTGCACACTGCGCAAAAGCGATTGCCCCGGCCCGGCATGTCCCCAGTCACTGCCCCGTGTCCAACAGCGCCCTGCCTCGCAGCACCGCCCCGGCAGGGCCACGCGTGTACACCCCTCTGCTCCCGCGACCGGCGCTTCTGCCTCTTGCTCCACATCCACCAGCTCCTCTCTAAAGGGCGGCCGTGATGAAGTGGCAGGGAAGCGCTGAGGGCCTGGGGGAGGCCTGCCGCTGGGAAGTGAGGGATGGTGGCCTATTTTCCACAGTGCCTTCGCCTGGCTTTCCGCTCCCCCTCTTCGCTTTCCCCCTTCCAGCTGCCCTCAGGCACGCCAAGGGGGCAGCGGCAAGCAGGACAACCTCCCTGGACAGACTGAATTGTGTGCTCCAATTCTGAGGTCAAAGCGGCCATCATGCAGGCAGAGATGGGGTTTCTGCTCCTCCACACGCTCCAGAAGGACGCAGCACGGGCAAGGGCAGATGGGATGCTTCAAGACGCTGTCCGTGTGGCAGCCCTCTTGCCCCCTTTTGGGGGGACTAGGCCCCTACGTGGCTGCAGTGAACTACGAAGGTGAAACCAAAAGGAGTGTTCACTCCACCTTGTCTGCCCCTGGCATGGAGGCAGAGCGGGGTTCCCGGGTGCGGCGAGGTGTGAATGGTGAGAGGAGAAGGGCCATTCCCTGCGTGGCTGGTGCAATCCTTCGCAAAGCCATGCGGGCAGGCGGCAGTGGGTGGGAACATACGAGATGCCAGAAAAACACCCGGCTGACACCTCAGCAGTGAGGGACAGCAGGGATGGAACCGAAGCCCTGGGAGGACAGGAAGCTTTAAAAGTGTCAGAGTTACCTCGAGGAAGTGGCCTCATCCTGCAGCTCCCTTTCCTGTGGCGATTAAGTAGGGTGCCTACCACGATTTAACCTTTTGGTCTTCACATGCATGTGAGTAGGTGGAAGGGAGTTGCCATTGAACCAGGACCTCCAGTATGGCCAGGGATTGTCAGAAAAGTGACAGTACCTTTCTGGAGATGTTTCCTTCTCCTGGTTGTGCAGGTTTTGCAGGGCAAAACAATGAATAATAAGAAGATCCTGTTCCATTTGGCAAGTAGTCAGCTGTGTATCATGACAAGTGGTTTGTTTAATGTCACATATCCATGGTGATACTGGTATGCCTTTTTGCCTTAAGTTTGCGATCCTTTTCAAAGCCAAGCACACATCCTATCACCGCCCTGCAAATGCCCTTTCCTATTTTCAGCTTTCAGATGCTGGAAGCTGCCAGCTTGCCAAAGTGAGTTATGAAGAACTGGCATGAGACTGCCAGAAGCAATAGTAGGGAAGTCACAGCCTCCATGACACCTCACTCATACAAAACCTATCTTCAGGTATTTACAACCCACATACAAAGGATTGGCCAGGACAGAGCTTTCTTCATCAGGGGTTGCAATGGGGTCCAGATCAGGCTCAGCAAAGCAATGCCAGGCAAACCAAGTTTGTCATTGTTTATGGCCATAGCAAAGTGGGAACTCAATCAGCTGGTTGCTTTCCAGGAACTGGCTGGAAGATGGGTGACAGGCAGCCAGGGGAATGCAGGATGAAGCATGAACCCATCACCACTGAGCTAGCAGGAAGCCCTGAATCTCCTCAGTTTGCCTCTCCTGATCTAAGCCACAGTTACTTAAAGAAATATTTTCACTCGTGTTCTTCAAAGTCTTCTTCATACCCGAGTTGGTTCTTCAGTCAAACAGCAAGCGAGCAGGGCACCATGTATCAGGAGAATGCCAGAGATGGCCAGGGGCAGGAAGGAAAGCTGCAACATTCACAGAGTCACTCCTCAGTGAAGAATCCAAGTAGAGCTGAAAGAATGTGACTGCTGTGCCCATCTAGGAAGGATCACTGAGAAATACCAAACACGACAACAGAAAAGAAAGGAAAAGATGGATCCTCAGTTGGGTGTTAACATTTTGTATCAGAAGGTCAGGGAGGCACTGAGGCTGGGTTGTGGATACGGGCGGCCCTGCTCGCTCCTTCCAGACTGGAACATCTGCGGAGTGTGGTGAAAGAAAGGAAAGGAAAATCTGAAAGGAGAATCCCAGATGGTGTTTTTCCAGGTATATACTGGAAATGTTCAGGCCAACTAAATACTTGTAGTTCCAGGGATATATCACTGAAACAAGATACACAGGGCAATGGATTTCAGGGGGACTTGGATCTCTAAATCCATTTTTTTTGCAACTCTGAAAATATAATCCCTAACTCTCTGTGACTTGTCTGTCCCAGATCACTGTGGAGATGAGTTTCTATATGTTCCCTCCCATGCTGGCACAAAGCAGTCAGGAAAACCCAGTTCAGGATATCTGCTAGGGTTATCTGATAGGAAATTTTATATTAGAATGATATCCTGGAAGAAATGCCCTTTCTGTAGAAATTATTAAGCTTTGCTATTGAGGAGCCATGATTTTCAGGCTGCTCTTGCTTTTAACTTCCTCACAGCTTCCTTCAATCCCACCCTTCCCCGGGGCACCTGGCGCTTGGGAGGGAAGAGGGAACTGTGGCGCAAGAGGTCCCCAGCTCTTTGCTTTACTAGTGCTGAGCTGGATGGCTGCCACTGGTTTCACTGCCCACCCCAAGGAAAAACAATGAACATGATGTTTGTTCCAGATGGGGACCCAGGAAGCAGAGAAATCTGTTTTGGTCTCTCAACATGCCTTTTTTTTTTTTTTTTTTTTTTCCCCTGGAATTGCCTTTGTGAGAAGAACAGTAGGTTTTTTTGTCTGTGGGGTGAAAACACATGGGTTTCAACTAGAAGGGGGTTCCAATTTTGGACATGCTTTACTGAGAGACCTGTTACTCTTACATGACTGTGGGGGAAGAGTGGACACAAGATTAGCTGTGGGTCTCGGCATGAGATCTTCCAAGTATCCAGGTGGGAAGGAATTATCTTGGCAAATTCAGCTGTTTGAGCAGCACCAAAATCCAGACTATGGCAGAAAACATAGGATTAACTCTGTTAACTCAGTTCGATACCAGGCACAAACTTCCTAAAGCCGTCACAGCTTCCCTCTGCCAGTCCAGACACCAGCCAGGCATTCCCCAGAGCTGAGCAACTGCCCTCCTGTTTCAAGTCTGCTCTCCTGGAGAAGGTCACTGATCACTGAGGTAGGGCTCCTGACATCCAGGTAGGCAGCCCAAGTGTGGAACAGACGACCCACTGGGGATTTCTTTCAGTGGTGGACGTATGTTACAAGGAGTTACTGGAGTGATGTCAAAGCAAATCTGTACTGCGCTCCTTGCAGCTGGCTAGTGTGGGGGAGTCAGTGAAAATGCAGAGAGAGACAGAGAATGCACTATCTCCAGTAGTCAGCATGGGACTTTCTTCACCAGGTTTCACAAGGTAATCCATCTCTGTGCTGATTGGAAGTGGTTATTCTGCTGAGAATGGGGGTTACTAGTGTATTTATTAGCAACAAATCTTTGTGAAAAGCAAAGGGTTACCCAGAACAAGGAAATGCCTGAAGCATTTGGGGGTATGTTAGAGGGTTTTATGTGCTTGCATCCCTTGTTGGTGTGCCAGGAACCAAAGATGTATGCATCAAAGTGCTGTTCTAAAGTAAGGAACACAGGCTATGCAAATTCTGCTACTCTCCCCACCCACCTTTTCCTGTTTGTTTAGATGGTTCAAGATATAGTAACATGCTGGTATATTTTTATTTTGGTAATAATGAATGTGGCTTCGCACCCTTCATCTGCATGGTCTTATTCATGTGAGAATGTCTTGGGTAATGTGACAAGCTCCATTGTTTTACCGTTACGCCCTCTCAGCACAGTGCTTCAAGTCTGTGTGATCACAACTGAGGTTCTTCCTTAAGTGTAATTAATTTGACTGCAAGGATTTTCTTTGAAAAAGTAATTCTGTAAAAACGGGAAAACTTATTAAGAACATCCTTTATTGAAGAGGCTCAAGAGGATGTAAATATACAAAAATAAACACACATATAAGTAAATAATTGATCAAGTATCATTCTGTTTGCATTCTGTCACATAGAACCCCAGCATGAACCTTTTCGCTACTCCACTTTTGGGTATCAGTGGGAACCAGCAATAACAAAAAGAAACTGTTCAGGTGCCTTTGAGAAAGTGGTAGTAGCTTCTGTAGCAAACCAAATGACACCAGGTTCAAATAGAGCAGAGAGGGGGGAAGTGGTCACCAACTAGACTGTATGAACAATTTTGTTCCATTTGGAGACCAAGCCAAGTAATAATGCTACTGTTTTGGGTCAACAAAGACTGTTAACATTTCTTCAGGTAGAATTGAAATGTTTTATTTAATTAAAATTTATTAGAAAGCAGAGTACATACTTCTAAGTATGTATTAGACCTGGATGATTACACCTAAAGTGTTCATTGCATACATTCTGTAATTAATTGAACTGGTAGTTGACAAGTAATTTA